GTGAAAAATTTAACTAACAGTCTTTCATCATCTTAAAGAAAATAGAGTGAATACATCTCATACAACTGACCTACTGGTTTTCTCGAAGCCATACTTATAAACTAAGAATTCTTTATTAAAAATGTCAAATATTTTGAATTTTATTTAGTGCATACTAACAAAGTGTGAGGTTGATTATGATGATGCCGCATTACTCTACCTCTATTATTCACAATTATCATAAGTATGGTATCTGTCTTATGAATTTTGGGCAGAGCACACGCATTATTCTGTATAATATCACGCTGAAGAATTGCGTTCATTTTCCACTTCTCCATTTCGCCGCTATTTACACATTTTTGCAAAACAAATTTGGGTGTAAACTTATGCGTCTTGCCATTGTCTAATGCCTGCAATATCTTTTTCACATAAGTTGCCCTTGTCATAACCACTAGTGTTATTAATTCATCTGCCCTTACTACTAAAGAGTTATTTGGTTAAAGTTTTCATATGATAGTATTAACTTTCCTATTCTGTATGGTAATTCTCAATTGATGTTAATTAAGAATACAGTCCGTAACTCAAAGTCAGTCCTAGTATACCCTGGGAACCCATCTAATAAACTTATAAATTCTACCGGTATTAACTATTTGAAGTCCTTACTACTTTGCAAAGAAAAGTTCAAGCCCTTTAAAAGGACCTCTTCAGGGCGAGGGTCCAATGAGGTTATGGACAAGTTTGACGATCACTTCGTCAAAAATTTGCTAGTTTATTCTGCTTCTTTCCCACTAGCAGAAAAACTTTATAATACTGCCTATTCGCCATTTTTGTAGTTTCATAAAATCCCCCGAACTAAGGGCTTCAGACAACATTCTCCTTATTATTCTCTCGATTATGATTAGTAAGTACAACTCTGATATGTGGAAAAACTGGGTTTCGAAGATCCCTGGTGGTGGAATCAATTTACGAATCCCTTCCACTATTTCCTTTAAACTAAATGAAAGTTACTCCAATATTAACTCCAATACTTTTTCATTAATCGTCATATCAATTAAAGCATAGTATACACCTACAAGTCCAGTCTTAGTTTTATATGAGAAAAGTTTGCATAGAAGTAACACAAAATCTAAGGACATTTCGAAGTGAAGAGCAAATAAAAAGATACGATTGTGATTGACTTGCTTGGCAATCATTCCCTTGGACTTTATATACGATGATGAAAATCGTAGAAATCCTACGAACTTTGTACATTGAGGGAATGCAGAGTTTCGAAGAAGAGATGGTAGTACTAAACATTCTAGCGAGGTAGAAAAGGAGGATAAGCTACTATTATTGGATGTTTAGTTTTCCTTATTAGCTTATTTTTTACTCGTAAGTATGGAGTCAAAGAAGGAATTATAAAATAGCTGATAATATGGAGTTTGCGTCCAGTATATGAAAATCACTGGTGCCAGAAAATTAGTAGAATGAAGGTTTCAAAGCAATTATTACTATAAACATCTCTTCCTAACCTACCTTCTTCTCTAAAGATGAGCACATCCAGAAATGTTAAGGGCGTATTCTTTAACATTTCCATTGGGAATCTAAAGTTCCTTTCAAGCTGGTTTAGTGAAAGTATGAAACAATCTAGACTTTCCTTACAATGAAGCCAGATTACAAAATAGTCTATATATCTAACCAACAATTTAGGGGTTAGTATTGACTCTTACAAGAAGTGTTCCTTCAGCCATGCCATATAATTGTTCGTTAAGATGGGATCTATGCGAGATCCTATCGCTAGTCCTTGTGTTCGTATAACTTACTATCTATGGTAAAATATGTGGTACTCATGGATAGGTTATTAAGTCTAATAATCGAACCTCTACTCAGCCTTATTCCTTGAGTTATGTCTGGATAGTCCTCCAGAGTTTGTATAAGAGCTTGAATAGCTCCTTGAACAGAAATGTTTGTGTTCATAGACACAGCATCAAAACTTACTAGCCTATCCTCTTCTGAAAGTGTCTACTGATCAATCAATTTCACAAAATCATAAGAATTTTTAACTGAATATAGCCATAAATTGGTAGAGTTCCTTAGTTGGATGCATACAAGGATTATATAGGCTATAGAAATAAACGGAATAGGAATACATTGAATGTAAGGAATGCTGGCAAGAAGTTAAGTACAAACTACATATTCCTAATTACTGGACTCAAGGATAAAATGTTTGTTGAGCCGCCTGTATAACGGAAGTGATTCTATTTTAGTCCTTTCTTGTCTTGACCTTAATCACGGTCACTTCTCTATTCTTTTGGCGCACTCTTTCTCTCTCACATGAAGACAAAATACGCTCGTCAACATAACTTTATGTGTGTCTTATATTGCGCAATCAGAGTGATGGTTAACATTGGTAGTTGAATTTTCCAACTTTAATCAAAATAGTTGGAATATATCTCATATAATTGATTATACATACGTAATATATATAGCAAGGGGGTGATGGTGGTCATCAAACCTTGATGGCCATAACACGCGTTACTTTGCTGTCCTAATTACTTTGAGCCATCACTGCAGATTTCGTCCATATGCGAGCACATATATTCATATACGCATACAAAGACAGGCACATTTACATACTCTAAGGTTGACATATGACAGGACCTAACCAAATCACTTTAGTTTTCATCAAAGAGGTCATATATAGAGTATATATACAGCTTTTTAGGGACGAGCTGGTGAGTTTTCTTGATTCGTTAGCTTGAATTTAGTTGTAAGGATGATACCTGCTCTGATGATGTTCATCATACGATGGAATCAAGCTTAGCATGTTTTGGCGCTTGGAGATTAAATTTGAAACAGAGTTAACAAGAATGTTCCAGTAAAACTAATCGACAGCTGGTCGATAGGAACCTTCCATCCTCTTCTGGTGAGATCGACCTTGAAATCTCTTTATCAAACACTTTGACTCAAAATAGACGTCAGCTCAACAATCATGAAGCAAGATAACCCTCGAAACCAAACTCCTCTTAGCAACACTTTTTATAACGCACCTTGGAACCCAAGAGATTCCATGAATCAGCTGTGATCCCGAAAATTCCAGAACTCTGAGAGTTAGTATAACTGAAAATTAATTTTATTAGCTTAAATTATGTTTATTTCATTGGTACCAAATTATTTATATCTGATTCATTAATAACGATTAAGTTTGGGATGGTTTACCAAGTATGTAAAATAAAAATAACTTTAATATGCTACTACATGCCTACGGCTTTTAACTCGCTCTTAAATCTCGCAAAATGATAGATTAAAGGAGCAATTATTGACTTTTCAATGCTAGTCCTTGCATTTGTTTAAATGTAGTTAAGCATAGTTGTAAACCTTTTAGAATTTGTTGTAGGAGGAATTGATAGAATCATGAGAACAAATGAAGAGGCGATAAATAGCTGTGTTAGTTTTCGCATAATGCAAAATTATGTGATATAAGGTAAATTTATTAAGTTTAAAAATATTCAAATTAATGATTTCAATTGAAATAATTAGAGATACAATATAACTTTTCGCATGGAACTTTACTAAAAAATGTAATAATCACATCTATAAGTTAGGTTGCCTATCGTTTGCCTTAGTATAAGATAATTTAGAGACTTATTTTCTCTTGTCTGAGTTAAGTTAAACAGAATTTCCATTATAGATTAAAAGATTTTGCACATTTCGAAGTTGACAACAATGAGTACATTATACAATTCTATAGTACCTCCACATTAAAAAGAACAAATTTAGTCACAAGATTTCAATTGCTTGAAAAATTCACTTTGGAATAAAGCAGGTCAATGCTCTTGTTCGCTAAGAATCCTGTCGGATAGGCGAATTCCGCCAGCGTCGTTCTTTTTTTGTCAGCAGCGTTCTGGGATGACTAGGCGAGAGGACGTTGGACCTTCTTTCTTCCTCATCAACAGTGTACTGACAGGTCTCTCCATAGTAACCCTGTTGACACACACAGAAACAGGATGTAAATGGCCCTTTCTTCACAAGTTCGCCATTATTGAGACAGGAAGCCATACAATGTGCTAAATAATAAGGCGAGCTAGGATTTGTTCTCGGCAATGCACTGGCTATGGAAGGGCCAAATGACCAGTCGGAGCTGGCTATTGTTAGCCATGCAAAGACCGTTTTGCTGAACAAAGCAGCTGCTGAATAATGCGATGGTAACAGGTTTGCAGAAGCAATTTTTGCCGAGTTGGCATATACTTTGTACTTGGAAGTTACCAGCAACAGATAAACAAATATTAGCGCAAAGATATGATAATTTGAAGGCTGTAGTCTGCCATGCATAGCAAACATTGTAAGAGATGAAATTCAAAAACAAGACCAAGATGTAGGAGCGATTAACTCAAATATATCTTATGCAGCTTGAACGGATAATAACTCAAAGTTATATAGGCCTTATCTATTCCAGTGTCT